AAGCCCCTGCCCCGGGCTTCCTGGAATCAGCCGCTGATCAGTTTCAGCAGCGGCTGAATCTGGACGCCAGTTCCGACTTACATACAGATTCAACTTAAGAACAAACCTACAGTCCCTATCTTGTACGTAACCCGGGGACTGCCTGTATCTATTTTTGAAAGAATGTGCAGCCACCATTATGCAAATGAAGCACAGGAAATTAAAATTGCGGCTTCATTTGCAATTTCGATCTGTCTAATTTACATCCCTCTATCAAAAGAGGGATGTAGTCTAGACATGCCCTAATATACAATGGGATTGAGTGATTATTTTGGCATGTTCTTATGAACTGGTAGAGTTAGTCCAGTTACCATTGGACAGGTGCCCAGATTGCTAAAAGCTCCTGTGAGAAGGCAAAGAAACTCCTTGCATAATCTGACTGGGAGGACTTAGAGGCTAAAAAGCTTTTCTGAATTTGTGCGAGTATTAGATGTGCAGAACATTCTTGACATTTTCATTGTAAAATACCAGTGCCTGAACTCAGCCAACAGCTGCAACATTGCTACTTTGACTAACAACTGTTTTGACCAGTCCCTCTGAGGCCCCTTCTTCCCCCTTCCTCCCCAACACTTCAGCAGAGAGGCCACAAGTAAAGTGTGTGGAGTTAAGCCTTTTTTTCCCCTCACTTGTACAGATTGTCTCTGCTAGGCAGGATTAGGACAGTTTGGGGCAATTGTTTTGCCATTGCCCATGCTGTCCAAACATGCAGCCAGTCTCCAGCTGTCAGTCTGGCCCCTTTCATGAGCAGTATATTCACAGGCTACATCTACACTACAGAGTTTTTGCACAAAAACTCGCAGAGCATCCATACCTCAGGCATGTTTTTGCACAAATAAAACAAAAGAACAGAGGGGTTTTTCCAGTGTAGTTATTCCTCCTTCTTCAAGGAATAACTCCTTTTTGTGCAAGAGTTCTTGCTCAAAAAGGTGTGTGTGGACGGGCAACAGGGGTTTTTTTGCGCAAAAACAGGAGAGAAGAAAAAACACAGGTGCCTTCGTGGCCATTCTGTGAATAGCTATCAGTGCTTTCTTTCGAGAGAGCATCCTTGCAGTGTGGATGCTGTTTTATGCAAAAGTGTATCGCTTTTTTGATGCACTTTTGCAGTGTGGACGCACTCTTGCACAATAAGTTTTTGCGGAAGATCTCTTCCGCAAAAAGCTTCTTGTGCAAGAAACCTGTAGTGTAGACATAGCCATGATGTAACTTCTTTCAGCCTGTAGCCAGTTATTAAGAATTTTGAAGTGTATTCTTTACAACCCACAGGAAGTCTGTGGAATCCAAATATAACTGTATGTAAAATAGTGGCAGAAGTAGAAGTGAATTTTACAACAAGTAGCCTTGGGACCAAATATGCCATACTTCTCCAGGAGTGTGAGGAATGTGATGTATCAGCTGAAATGGACTTGATGACAAAGGTATTTTTCTTGTACATGTAACAGTTTATATTAAAACATATACATGCTCTCATAGATAGCAAAAAATGGCAAATTTCTTTTATATTCTCCTCTCCTTTAAGACAATTTACACTATAACCCATTTTACCAAATTAGCAGGGAACATATTTTTTTCAGAAAAATTAGAGGAATGGGCCAGCAGGCCATGAAAAATCTATGTGCTGGGTTCTAGATAAATGACAGACTATTTTTAAGAAGAGTTGTAATCCAATAAGTATGGCTCTTTTTCCCAAGAAGGTAGAAATTTGTTCTTTGTGCTTCAGGCAATAAGAAAACTAGGTAAAATCCCAGAGCCTGAGTATTTGTGTTCTCCTAATTTGGACAGTTTAGCCAACAGTCTGCAGCACACACTGACCAAAAAATTTCTTCTCATGGTGCTATATCATAGTTTTACCCATATATTTTGAAGATTTAAAAAGTACTTTGGTTTGTACTATTTTCAGATTGGGAGCATTCTAGGGGAAAAATGGAATGGTACACTGTAAAATGTTAATATGGTAATGTAGGTAGTTTAAATAAGCTTTAGTTACCTAAACTCAAAGCTACCTGAAACACAGTAGCTTGAAAAATTTTTTTACAGTAGACAAGGTCAGATTTTAAAATGATACAGTAATCACTTAAAATGACAGATGTATAGTATATTTAACAGTGTCAGATCATCAGTACTTTAAATGTATTTTCAGTTTTTACACAGTTTTAAAATTATTCCTTTGTGTAAAGCATTTACTTCAACTTTTTTCCTGCGGTTTCTATCTGCATTAGATCAATGAAACTAGAACTTCTGTTAGAATACCAGTGAGTGATCAAAGCAACAATCTTTCTGTACAGGTAAAATTCAATTTAGAGTGAATATGAAATAGAAAAAGCATTTCCTTTAAAATGAATGAAATGTATACAAATACTACATTGTTTCTGATTAATGTCCAGTAAATCTGTGTGTAATGCTATGTAGCTCTTGATTTCAAGTTAAGGACATTAAAGAAACAAAGATTAAGTTAAGTTAAGTTAAATAAACAAAGTTAAGGACATACATCATTGGACACAAGTTTTATTTCTACTAATTGTGATTAAATAAACAGACACTATAGTGCTTAAGACAAAGCACTACAATGCTTAAGACAAATGTGTGTAATATATTTACACTTGAGGTATTGGTGTAATTGGTTTTTTTTAAAGATCAACACTCATTGGTGGATCATTGCGACAGAACTGTTTTCAGATTCTCACCTATAGGGGATCCATGTGAAGACCTGAATGAGGGAATAACTATAGGTTGAACCTATCTAGTCTGGCACCCTCGGGACCTGACTGGTGCTGAACCAGAGCAGCTGCTGGACCCCAGGAGGTCAATATTGTCTCGCAGCATTATCAACACTTTCACTACTTACTGGGCTCTTAGAAGACATTTAGGGGTAAATTAGAGCTAAAGAACAGCACAGAACACCGAGAGCCAGGACTGATGGCTGTAAAGAAACTTTATGGGACCGCAGGAAAGTAGGCCATGCCCTTGATAAGTGGACAGCCAGCTAATTAAAATCATGCCAGATCAGAGAATGCCAGACTAGAGTGGTTCAACTGTAAAACAAACATAAATCTATAATCCAATGTATTCTATTTCCTTAAAATTGCCTCACTGCACAGAAAAGATAAGCATATAAACTCGTAAATGTATTATTTGGAGTTCATATTTATTCCTAAAAACATCATCAAATTACTGGATTCTAAATTGGTTCACTTAAGATTGGAATTATATATTCTTGTTCTGTATGCACAGCGGTAGCTGAAGGATAAGAAGTTGTACCATAGAAACCAATGGAGGTTTTCCCATTAATTTCAGTATGGGCTCAAAATGTGGTGACAAACTATTGATACCCAAACTGAGGAGGATATATGACTTTATAGCAGCCAAATTTCAGTTAATAAAGCCTACACTGAACTCAACTCCAGTAAGTCTCAAATACATTTCCCAGTTATAGAAACACCACAGAATATAGAAAAGCCTTGAGTCTTACGAAGTATAGCTTCATAAAGAGGATATGTTAATATTGTATTTTGCCTTTTAGTCTGAGAAGACACAGGCTCTTTAGTCCTGTTATCACTGTGCATTATTTAAATGGACATGAGCAGTTTAAGCCCCAAATCTAATTTTATTGAAATTACTAATATGAAAAGAAGTTGGTCAATGAAACTCATTCTAAAACTTTTAATTTAAACAAATTTATTATTTAACATTCCCCATTAGTGTTTGCAACCGAGGCATTGCAGTAGCATGGTCATGCACGAGATAAACCAGCAGAATAAACAATGAAAACAAAATTTCTCTTTAAGTTTCAAATAACTTACTAATAAGGAACATAATTTTTAAGTTTATGTGTTTTCGCGTGATAAAATCTCTATAAGAAACTCAGTAGTTGGAATAGAAGGGCTAAGCAGGATGAAAGAAACATGAAGGAATAAAGCTGTGTTTGTCTGCATATTACACTTTTCCTTAAACTTTTCTTTCTTCTTCAGATAATTCCTTATTTTCCCAAATGTGGCACTGATTGTCCAAGGCGCAAGGGAACCCTAACAGAGTGTGTTCAAAACCAAGGTAATGATTAGTTAAGCATTTATCTTCAGATTTGTTTCAGTGTTCAAAAGAGATGAAATAAGTATGATAGCTTGTTCTGTTTCTCACTATGTTCACTGAGCTACCATTGTGTCTCTTACACTTTCAAGTCTAAAACAATTACTCTTTGGGGGAAAAAAAAGATTTGAATTTCAGAGCCTTCTTTAACAGATCCTTCTCTAGGACTCCACCTTGACCTGATAGAAAAGCTTCTGTGTTCCAATGCCCCTTACGGCTGTGGTGGCAGCAGTTTTAATTCCTGGTAGGGCCTCCTAAACTGGACAGGTGAAAGTATAGAAGACAAGATGGATACCAAGCTACTGGTCTGCCAGGCTGGAGATTTAGCAATAGGCCAACAGTCTATCCTTGTGGGAGGAAAAAAGTTATTGAAACATAACAAGATTGCTGTTTGGCAGAATGTCATGATAGACCAGGATAGGAAAAACTTGTTCGTACCCTGAGTAACATCTGGCAGCATAAAAAGGATTAAAATTAAGGATAAATAGATGATGATCACTCTAGGACCATATACTGTACCTTTGATAGTTCCTCCTTTCATTATCCTTCCAGAATATTTGTTTTCGTGGTAAATACATTGATTATTTCAACTCTATCAATTAAAAGCCAGTTAACAACTATGAGTGGTAACAAAACAGGGAGGTGAGAATGGTCCATGGAATGTCAGTGTGCTGGGAGGAGGGAGTATTTTCCAGTGTCTGGCAGGGATGTGAAAGAAAACTTATGGGTTAAGGATGGGAACGGAGATAGCATCTGCTGCTGTATAAAGAACACTGTGTCTCAAGTTCCTCAGTGTTAACATTTCTGCATAACCTCTGTGGCAAAGTCATACTTCAGCACAATTTCTCTTCTATGTTTACAGCCTGGAAATGCTCAGTTCAGTTGTTAAGTAACCAGAAGCCTATTTTTTCTTTCAAGTTGATTATTCAAAAGGCTTCTTATTTAAAATGGACAGTTCTCTCTCTTTTAGGAACCATCACAATTAATTCAGCTGGAAGATACGTATTTTACATCCTTGCTGCTTTATGTGTAATTCTGTGTGTGGTTACTGCTGTAGTATGTTTCAGAAGGATCAATGGTAAGACCTTTATTCATACTTTTGAAAAAGCTGAACTTGAATGTTCTCTGATCTTTGCCTCAACCTCCTTTTAGTGAACCAGATAATTTAAAAAGTGTTGCAATGCATTTATATATCATATTTTTTAATATCACAACATGCAAGCATTACTTTACCCTTATTTAGGAAACTCTTAGCCCTCTCTTCACTTATATGTCCATTTCAGGGTAAATGTTCAATCTATAAATATTTATATTTAAAAAAACTATAGTTGAAAAAAATCCATACATTTAGCCTTCGCGTATCGGTTAATGTTCAGTTACACACAGGCTTCTGGTACATGTGGGGAGCCAGTGCACCAGCTCGTGGGGAGCCAACTGCCGCCCTGCTTGTAACCATGTAACCACTGAAATTTTCAGAAGTTACATGGTTACTTAATTATCCATGCTTTGTAACATCCCTAATGCCTATAGAGGAGATAGAAGAATGGCAAGATGGAAAAAAAAGGCTCATGTTTTAGGTGCCAACCAGTAGAAAAGTCTCAGATGACATTATTTGTAAGAAACCCTGTCCCACGCAATGTCCATATAGAACTAAGAGAACCTTAGAGGACCACACTAGAGCACACCAGTGATTTCTCTAGTTCATCTAAAACAATGCCTAGTACTTGATGCTTGACCCCCAGGACCACAGAGTAGGGCAACCCTTTGAATACTTCCACCCACTTCCAGGCACAGTTTCCCTGGATCTGCAGGGGTTGTTCATGGGGGTTCTTCCCTCCTCTGGGTCTCTGATGGTCCCTCTGCTTATTGATTTGACCATGGCTTTTAATGTGCCAGGCCGATGGCATTGCATCCAGACTCACATGCTATCTGGGAGGTCCTGCACAAATTGCTCAAGGATCACTTGGTCCATAATCTGCCCCAGCATTTGGGTATCAGGCCTCAACCACCATGGGGGAACATGTCTCCCATCCACTGAGCCACCCAAAACATTTGTATTTCTCAGATGAAAGCCCCAATTGATGCAAGATGGCTGCCTTCACATCATAGTTTCTAGCCTGAGCATCCCTCAGGGCCATATGTGCCACTTGTGCGTCCCTTGCAAGATATGGGGTTAGCTGCAGGGCCCAAGTAGTCCTGCCCCACCCAGTACCACATATTCAAAGGTGCCCAGAAAAGCATTGGGATCATTGCCAAGTGCCATTTTACAGAGGCAGATCACCAGAGTGCCATCACTCCCCCACCCTGCATACCCAGGCTCCCCACCCCCATCTCCTGCGGGACTCACCAGTTTCTGAAAGAGTTGCTGCTGCATCAGAGTCTAGTCTTTAATTAAGGCCCCTAAACGTCCATTGTTGCTCAGCTTGCCAAGCCAGTAGAGCCTGCCTTTCCTACTGGTGGGACTGCTGAAAGGCTTGCCACATCTGCTGCATCTCTCCTGGCTGTTAAGTCAGCCACTGCAGAGTGCTCTCCATTTCCTGCTCACCAACCTGTACCGCAGCCAGTCCTGGACAAATCCCCATGTGTAACAGAGCACATGGCCAAACCCCCTTCCTGAGGCCTACTTGTCTACCCACATAAGGCTCAGCCAGACTTCAGTGCCGTGCAACACCTGTGGCTTTATTGACCTAAGCGTGCCCCACAACTAGTATCAAACTACTGTTGACTTTGTTTGATGTTAAAAATGTTTAAATTCAATACAGTGTGTTTATATATATATATATTTTTTTTAACAACAGATACAAAGCAAATGTTCTTCCTTCGTACAGCGTTACAACAACCTGTTAAAGTACTAGTTATATATCCAAAAGAAATATGTTTTCATCATACTGTCCTGGTTTTTGCTGATTTTCTTCACAAGTGTTGTCAAAGTGATGTTATTATTGATATGTGGCAGAAAAGGAGAATTGCTGAACAGGGCCCAGTACAATGGCTTGCTTTTCAGAAAGAAGTTGCAGACAAGGTAATTTTCCTCGTTTCAAGCTATACCAATTCTGAGTGTGATGCTGTTTGCCACAAAAGCATAGGAAACCACAAAGATAACTCAGAGTGTATGTTCACTCTTGCATTTAACCTCTTCAGCAGTGATATGAAAAATATGTCTTCGCTGCACAAATACATGCTGGTTTCTTTCAGTGAAATAAATTCAAAAGAAACTTTCCCAAGTGCTCTGAATAGCTGTGCAAAATACTGTCTTATGAAGGACATTGACATCTTTTGTAGAGATCTTTCTTGTTCACATAGGTAGTCAAATGGCACAAATAAAAAAATAGTTTATGACTGGAGACATAGCACCAGCTGTTATTAGGGATGTTATATAGCAATTAATTGAATAGTCATGTAACCGCACAAAATATTATCGATTACATGACTTTTTGATAGTCCCTGGAGGCAGGGCCAGCAGCAAGTGTGCTCCTGGCCCAATCCCAGGGAGTCCCCTGTCTCTGCACTGCTGCCTCTGCTGATACAGAGGCAGCAGCATGGGGTGGCAGGTGGGAGCCAATCCCTGTTTAAAAGCTTGCTCTGATACAGAGGAACCAAAGGGGGCAAGTGTGCATAGTTGAGAAGATTAACTGATAAGCCAAGGATTATTGGTTAATCATTTACTCAACTACACATTGATATCCCTAAAATGTACACAAACTGAGAAATACAATATAAGGAATACAAGGTCTCAGCAGCAGTGGAATACAATTCTGTAAGACATCCGAGGGTTTTACAATCAGTTTCTTCTCCACAATTAATTCTGGTTGACACAAGCTTTACTTTCAGCCTCTTCCCTGCTTTATTGCAGAATCAGGGAAAAAATCAGTTAAAAGAAACAGAAGTTAAAAGATAAGACAGGAGAGGTTTATTGTAAACTCCTTTATGTAATTAGGAAGAAATATTTAAAGTAAGGCTGTCAAGTAATTAAAAAAATTATTTGCATGATTCATCATGCTATTTAACAATAATAGAATGCCATTTATTTTAAATATTTTTGGCTGTTTTCTACATTTTCAAATACATTCATAAAATCATAGACTCCTAGAACTGGAAGGGATCTCAAGAGGTCATCAAGTCCAGTTCCCTGCCTAACGGCAGAACTAAGCACTGTGTAGATCAGTGGCTCCCAGCCTTTTTTATGCCACGGACCGGCAAACCTATTTACAAACTTTTGGCGGACTGGCAATAGTTTATTTATATAGTTGCATATTCATAATACAAATAACGAATATGCAGTTGTGCAAATAAAATGTTACCGTCCGTATACCCTGAACCCAGTCCCTTGCTCCCCAGTGCCTAACACCCTTTGATCCCCACCCCTACAGCCCATGCCAATAGGCCCTGGCCCTGTGACCCCCACCACACCCTAACCCAACATCCCCATCCCCGCACACTTCAGAGTGAGGCTGCCCCTTCTAGAGAGTGTGGTCCATGACTGCCATGTGAGGAGGGAGAGTGGCCCTCCTCCTTCACACTGCCTCCCTCCCCAAGCACGACTCCCCAAACGTGAAGGGGGAGGAAGGGGAGATGTGTTACCTGCTCTGCTTCAGCCATCATGGCTGGGGGGGCTGAGCTGCACAGACAGCTGGCTTGAGCTCTGACAGCCATGGGGGTCTGGCAGGCAGGTGTTCACA